CAGTAAGATTACAATCATTGTGACGGACAATGCAGCGAATCTGGTCACTGTTATCAATATTTTGAAGCGGAAACACATCTCTTTAACCATAGTTTGAAAGCATCCGATAAACTTCGAAAGGTCCAAGTCGAGTTTTCAATGGAGGAATTAAAACTCATCCAAGATGTTCCTATCAGATGGAACGCGACATTTTACATGATGAAGCGTTTTATAGACCTGCACATACCTGTTTCCACCACACTCGGTCTGCTTGGGAAAGTTGATCAGAACTTATCAGACAGCAAAGTTGAAGTGCTGAAGAATGATGTGAAAACTCTGAGGCCTTTTGAGATTGTGACAATGGAAATGTCAGCTATTCTCCATACCACTCTATCCATGACTGTGTCTATGACACGTATCATCAGAAAACTCTTCTCCTCCGTCACATATGAGCAGACTCCTATGTCAACTGCACTCCAAACGAAGCTCTGGAGAGCAACTTTCTTATCGCAGCTGCAACATTTATTGACTCACGATTCAAAAAGCGTGGTTTCAGTGATTCCAACGCAGCTGAGACATCAACAGTCATCAACTCATTGAGAAACTTCCTTCATCAAGTAGCCAGAAGGCATCTTGTAGGCTCCGAAGTATCAACCTCTAGGGTTCTTTTGACAATAGGATGTAGCGTTCAGCATCCAACAGAACAAACAGAGTTGGAACTACCCTTGAAATGAAGCGCTTCGTTGAAGAACTTACCATACCAAAGTTCTGTGTGTGCGTTATTGTTTTTCTTATAGCAAAGCCACATCGGACTATCTGCTGTGTCCACCGAGGGGAATCGAACCCTTGCCTTTAGCATTGTAAATCTGTAGATTTACCGCTTTCCCAGCGGGGGACACCATACCAAGGACTGATGCCCTCTGCTATGGTGGAAAATACGTGCTCTTTCTTACCCAGGTATGTCACAGCGAAGTATTTCTGTGCCCCTGTAATATCAGTGCCAGCTGAGAGGCTTTTCTCGATAGGAGGAGAGCTGGTGTCAGCTCGAAGAAACCCAAAGAACATTGAACATGATGCTTTTCTTTAACTAAAACATTTAAGTCACAGTTTTGGTCATTATGAGTGTTTTACTTTGTCTTTGGATTATGCTTTTACATGCGACTTGAAATATTGTTAGATCGTTTTATGTTTAAACTGATTATTTTGTCAGGAAGGAGATCTTAGCATTATGATTTAATTGTTCATTGTTTGATTCTTTTGGATACATGATTTCTTGTGTCATAATAACTGTTTTGGTTTTTGATTTTCATTTTGAATATAATTCAGAATACTTCTTGACTTTTACTTATAGTTCTTTCAGTATCTCTAAAACGCAAAAATATCAAGATAATTTTATATTACATTTCAGTTTACTTATTGATTATATATATTCCCTTTAATGTGTTAAGCGTTCTTTTTTTAAGTTTGTTTGTTTGAATTTATGCACAAAGCTACACAATGGGCTAACTGTGCTCTGCCCACCACGGGTATCAAAACTGGTTTCTAGCGTTGTAAGTCCGCAGACATATCGCTGTGCTACTAGAGGGTTCTTTTTTAATAAAAATTAAACATTATTATATAAATGTACGACAACTTATAAAATGATTTGATAATGATCGTACCAGTGATTGAAACGTCATAACTGTTTTACAAAATATCCTTCCTTACTGTAAAAGTTGTAACTTAACGTAATTATTGTATAAGCTAGTTTAAACAGCAAAACTGATTTGAAAGTATATTGACATTCTTATTATTGGTTTAGATATAAAACTGACGAATCTTTAAGAGGAAGAAAGATACACCCACCCACTCCATTTCCACATCGTCCCTAAACAAGGCACGAAAATCACCACTGCTCCGCCACCCACAAAAAAGGAAAAAGCACAAAAACAATTTCGGTATCACCTCATTTCTAGAAATATACCCTTTTCACATAGATCCACCTACACACACATACTCTCAATATCACCACCCTCGAAAGAAAAAAAAAAGAGAGAGAGAGATAGAGAACCACCTTATGTCGTCATATTAAAAGCGTAGGCGTCAAGAGTAATGAAACCGTACACTGGTTACTATACATATTGTTCTATTCATATTCAAAGATAGCGAATATTTCTAAACAGTTCTCGAATAGAAAATTTCAATATTCGTCTGTCACTAAGAAATACAGTAGTTTTCGTTAATTTCACATGGTTGTGATATGTAGCTTTCGACATAGGTTAACATTAGTAAAAATGACTGGTTAAGATAATTAAATAATGATTATACGAGAGGTTTTGAAAATGAAACATAAATGATAAAATTTACGAACATTCTTGATAGCTGACTTTATATCTTATATATTTGGTGTATTTTTCTCACTAATAAAATTGTTGTCGAATTAATAAAGAGACACTAACCATTTCATTTGATGCCAAATTTTCATATTAACAAATAAGTCCGAAAAATATTTTATGTCTTAAGATATATGTCATTTGTATAATGTGAATTTGTAGAATAAGAAAAATGTTATCGCTAATCTAACGATATTAGAAAATCGCATGTCATATCGTAATTTAGATGGAAGCTAAGAATCATATCACATCCATGGCGACACCATGTGACACAAACGAGAATTACTGCATTTGTCCAAGATTTCTCCTTCAGCAGGATAACATACAGCCATTATTCGCATACATTCAAATATTACAACTACAAATATTAGAATGTAACGACGAAATACCATTTATTAAAAGTTTTTGAAAATGCGAAATCATCAAAGAAATTTTCCATTATGTATTTTCTTGAGGTTTTGAAACAGAGCATTGTTTACAAACAGTTATTCGGAAATATAAATAATAATAACCTAAAACAGCCAAAAGGTAACAATGAATACACTTTATTTTTCAAATTTACATAAATGTATTCTGTTGCCTACTGACCAAGTCTTCTACTAATGGAATAACCCACATACACTCTCACAGCGCGATACTAGTACTTGAATCATCAAGTTATTGACGCATGTCTCAAACTTGCAAAATAATAATAATTGTTACTTCATTTTAACCTATGTCTTATAAAAATAAAAATATTGAATGAACATTTCAACACAATTACAGAATTTGAATATATCCACATATTGTTGAGTCATACATAATTTTAGAATTAATAGAAATAACTACGATAGTTATTGAATTTTCTCTTTTGTACAATTCCATAACTTCTTTAATACTTAAAAAAACAACAACATATTTTACCCAGGTTACTAGCTTCAAAGAACATGAGATTTTGGTAGCCGTTATCATTTCCACGCCTCTTTTTCGAGGAACAGTTCAGGGTTCTTTAAAAAGCTGAATTTTTTGTTGTTGTTTTGTTTTAATATTAGAATGAGAAGAGAAACTGAGAAGCATTTTTTCTTCACATTCAACTCCCCTGACTAAAATTTTGAATTTCTATGTATCTTATGTTCAACTGAAGATCAAAGAACCAATTAGTAATCACTATTGATTATTATTAAACAATAAATGACTTGACCGGAAACGGAATTAGGGGTAATTTTATTTAAAGAAGAATAATGAATCAAAGAGATTGAACCGAAAAATATCATCACTTATAATAGATTTGAATTTTTGTTACATGTTTCAAGAAATGATTATAGTAGCGAACTGGAAAAAAACGAAACAAATTTAATGTAAAAATCAAGTTGTGAAAGATAAAGTATTCAAAACATTAAATGTTTACTACGTTTGTTTGTTTTAAATTTCGCGCGAAGCTACACGAGGGCTATCTGCGCTAGCCGTCCCTAAGTTAGCTGTGTAAGACTAGAGGGAAGGCAGCTAGT